CGTATGTATCATCTACGTAGCCAAGCAGTATGGAATGCCATAGTACTCTATATAAATATATCAAAACAAAGAAACATTTCAGTAATTGTGTCCTTTTATTTTTAAATAATTTAATAAAAGGTACCGTATTATATTTCATAATAATGTTTGTCTTCTAAGTATAATCTGTAAATTGTATATTGTAAGAATGTTGTGATTTTAGGCAGACAATACTAAAAATATTATTTTACATAATAATACAAATATGATTACTTAAATAATTCACATCATATTTCACAATTAAGTTCACTTTTCACGTTGATGTATTTCTGAATGACAGTTTTCCAAACCAGGGAAACATCTGACATATAGAATTCCATCAGGGAATAAACCACGAGACAGAATACGTCTCAACGTGGAATTTTTTTACCCTCTACACATGGTAAAAATGCCAGTCTTGAAGGGCTTCATCCAATGATGTTCCTTAAATTTTCATATGTTTGGCTACTGTGACATAAAACCTTTCTAGGGCATATGCAAGCAGCTACACACATTTCAGAACATGTAACACAATATTACTACAGAACACCATCGGTGTCAAAACCCTCCAAATTAACACGTCAAATTTGTACTCTTGAGGCATCGTAAATTAATGTAACATGTAAATTTTCTATGGAATGCCATTGGGGTCAAAAGGTCAAACTTTTATTTTAACATTCATTAAAATAAAACATTCATTTTCAATGTGTTATGGCGTTTGGACCACTAAAGCCATAAAATTGGATGGTGTTACTTACCCACCCCATTCTGACATAGGAGCTACGTTGGGCTGTACACCTACACGGTTTGGTTATGCTGGCTCAAGGTATCTATCATGTGTTACACGCAAATGGGATGTAGTAGTTGGAGCAGTCCATTTGTGTGGGTAATTTTGAACTCTGGTGGCTGAGTAGAGCAGAAAATGAGCCCCAAAAACTTTACTCACATGTACACTAAAATAGTGGCTTAATATTTAAATATATGTGAAACATATTTTAGATATCTATGTCAAACAAATGTTTAAATATATTTGTTGTGCATATGGGTGGGGAATTGTTTTCTCTCTTGTAATGATTGTATGTATGTTTAAGTGGTTGAAAATTAATGTTACTGTATTACCATTATACCAGCCAAGCATTGGCCAGCAGCCTCGCCCACCTGGATGCCCCACATCTGTCTCCCTGAAATCAATATCCCTAAGGAGGAGAAAAAATGCAGATATATCGAGAGGTATTCTGTCTCACGGTGGTAGATAAGGATAAGAGATTTGGCATGACAGGGCTACTTTCCTGTGTTTGCTCTGCTAATCTGCACAACCAACTGACCTCCCTTACATGCTCCATAGCTGCCCGGGACTTTTCTAACTACTTCCTATATCTGCTTGGCAGAATAATAGATTGCAAAGTACTGTATTAGCAAGTCACACACTGAGTCCCACCCCCCTCAAAGTGACTGACAGACCGCACTGTTATTTTGTAAAAAGGCGTTATGAAATAAAAAGCTGGTTCAAAAAACCGTCATTCAAAAATATCTCAATGTGAAAAGTTTAACTTATTGTGAAATATAGTTTGAATTATTTCAGTAATCACGTTTGCATTATGTGAAATAGTACACATCATTACAAAATACAATTTAAAAATTATACATAGAAGACAAATATTATGAAATGTAATTCTTTTATGTAATTTTTTAAAAATAAAAGAATACATTTAATCATTGAAAAATTTATTTATTGATAGATATATTTATTTCATTTTGAGTATTATGGCATTCCATAGACAGGACTGCTCTATCACTAAAACAGACCTGGGGGAGACAACGAGGCTGTCTTCTGTCTGGATTCACAGGTGCACACACCTATTAGAACAGGTGTGTAAAGGGGATGGTTGTGGCCAAGGAAAGAGCTCAAGTTTTCTGCCACAAAATTACTGTCTGTGAAGTCATGAAACTAAACAGCTGCCTTATTCTTGCCCATGACTCAACCAAAAAAAGCAGTCACCACTAGGTAATCGCTACTGTCGAAAAAAAGAGGGCTATGATGTTTTATCTGTGGTTCACATGAAACAAACTGCAGAGCTGGTACTGTCCCAAAAGGGTTTATCACCAGAACAACAAGAGTGTATCTGACAAAGCAATTACCTCTCCTCTGTTATTACGACATGGTTTGGTATGATTTTAAATGGATTGAGCTTTAAACAAAAAAAGAGACAAAAACAGAACAAAGGCTGAAAAATGCTTTTTTGCATCAAGCCCTAACTGACAGAAATGTCTTTTGTGACATTTAATTTGAGGGGTACAGCCAGTAAAAAACATGCCCTAGCCTTAATAAAACAGATTATTCACTATATATAAATGCCATTATATCTACTTTAAGCTGTTCAGTTGAATAAACATTGTATCTGTATTAGAGTCACTAAATAAATCACCAGTTTTAAATCCCTAGGTCCCAGTTATCAGCTCTCCCACAAGCCTATCCCAGCCGTCCAAAACAAAAAAACTTAAAAATCCTTTCTCTGGCTTCTGAAAGTTGTATTTTTAGGTTGCTGCTACACATAAATAAATGCATCGATCCTTTATGCAGTGTAAAAAAACAAAGCCCCAGGCCTGAATTCATAAGTGAAAATGAAAGTCATAAATCAAATCAGATTTTTCTTTTCATATCTCCTTTCCCAGATAAGGTTCAGCTTCTTTTGTATCTCTTTTGGATGCATCTAAACGTGTTCTACACAGTATTGTGCTTGGATTTGGGTGCTTTGACACGTCACCAAAATCTTCATATAAAATTCCAAGTGGCATGGTTCAGAGCTTACTAATTCCAGGGCAATGTGTCTTAACTTTTGTGCCAGTACAACCATTTAAGATAAATCTGAATTGCTGTGTCCTGTCAACTGTAATTAGTTCTGGTATGAAAATGAGAAGGGATTTGATTAAACTTGATGAACTGCCACTGATTCCTTTTATCTGTTACAAGTGACAGACATGTCACATGTTAACTGTGACATCCATTCAAGATATTAGTCCAATCTAAGTCAAACCAAGCTGAAATGTAAAAAATTAAATAATGAAATTAAACATACATGATCTGAAGATGTGAAAAGGACTCAGTTGGGTTTTTACAGACACCAGACAAGTGACAGCACAATACCTATCCAGTGAGTAACAATTAAAGAACCTAGGCTAAAAGGTCAAGCAACCCTTACATTACTAACCATTTCTTACCCTGCTGTACTGAAATGTGAAAGACCAGCTTTTGTTGAAAGGTGTCAAACAGTTCAGTTATGGAACTAAAACAGTATTTGAATGTCAGGCCCATTTCTCACCAGCAGATGGTATTCCTCAACCTAAAAGCATTTTTCTCAAAGTGGGAAAAAGTTATATTTTTAGATGCTCTTTTTCCTTGTCAGACTTGAAACTGCATCTGGGCACAGCTCCTGGGAATGGAACACTGATTATTGTCAAATTCTGCAGATCCTTTTTACCACAAAAGGAAAAATCTGGATCGCAGGAGCTGGGATAACCATTCCAGTGACCTCACTTCAGCAGTTATAAAGTGACATTGGTGGAGCACAGTCCTTACAATTGCATTAGGTGACCATTACTCAGAGCTTAAATGGCATGAAATTAATTCAGTGTTGATAAGACTGCTGGTCTTTTTGCCAAGTCATCTCCTAGTCAGTTACTGTGTATCTAACCTTTATGACAACACATACAGAGGCAGAGACAGGCTTTCTCAGTGTTCGACTCTAGATGATTTCTGTGAGGGACTAAGCACAAGTTTAAGCATGTTTTTATCAGCATTCCTTGGCAGCCTTCAAAAACATCATGTATGGCGCCCTTCTCATCTGACAGTCTTTACAAATGTAACAGTTGAGTAACGATGACAGGAACCATGCATGTGAGGCACAATGAATCATCTGCATATTGTAATGTGCCTTTTCCAGTTCTCAGGTATTCGAAGTGCACAGAAGTTAAAGTCTAAGCCAAGATGAACACTTACACGTCTGCACCCTCAGCACCCAGTACTAATTGAAAATGACTAACAATCTTTATATGAAGCTGACAAATGTGCACGTGTTGAGAAAGGGAGTGTCTTCAATTTTTAGTTATAACTCCTGCCTGATATGTTCAAGCATTTAACTCGTTTTTAGGCACTTTGAGAGAGTGACCATGTTTTGATAGAGTTCAAATAGAACAGCATTTCAATGTCCAAATTTGGATGAATTTAATACACACGTCTGTAACAACTTTTTGCTAAATATGTATAAATAACCACGATAGAACAAATAAATGACAAATAGACATTTTTTTTTAAATTACCCGGAGCCCGATGCCCCATAGGCATAAACACTAACTGATTGGCTTTAGAATAAAGTCTCATTTAACTCCCTTGGGGAACTTCTAAAGCATGCAATGCTGCCAAAGGACTGGGAGCCCTACTGCAGTCGCACCAGTCTGGACAATCTAAGTCTTCCCTCCTTCGAGTTGGTGTCTCCGTCCCCTATGATCCGTTAACTTCTCCCCAAAAACAATTCACTGGACCAGACAGCAATGTACCCTCCCCTCCCATATATAATCGTAGGAGGAATATGGACAACCTGCAGCTGGGTTTGTGATACGGAAAATGAATTAAAAACAAAAATCGCCCAATTGCAATGTGTCAGTTTCATATTGGTTATTATTGCTAAATGGCTACTGCATTGATTCCCCTTAAATCACGGAGTAGAGCAGTCTAATCACATTTGAGCAAAAAAGTCTCGACTATTCTGGCTGTATGAGCACACACACACACACACCACAACATAACACTCATTCCCATGAAAAATCCTACCGCTATAAAGTGAGTTTACAGTAAATTATAATTGTGGCTGGCTCTTTACCGAAGAGATAACAGAACTGCTCATTTGAATTCTTTTAGTTCATTAAGTTGTTTCACATTAATTGATTATTAATACAGGTTAGTGCCGACCTGACAATGAACTTACCAGAGTTCGCAGAGACGTTTCATCCAGAGTCGAATATTTTTCTGAAGACATTATGATAGTGCCAAGTTACTGACAAATCACTCAAAAGTGTAAAACTGGGATTTCTAGTTACTGTTCAAAAATTTTTGCTAAAAATAACGAAGACAAACTGCGTATTCAGTTTCTGGTCCTGGAGTAAAACGGTGCCAACAGTCACCTCGCGATGGAGACCCAGCTGCTAGTTCCGCCAGGTGACGGTTAACGCACTCGGCACGTATCCCTACAGACTTCCAGTTACCGGTTGGCGCCTGGGGGGAGAACCACACTTTAACGTTTTACCGTTTATTGTGTTTTTCACAACTGAGCTTTTCGGAATCCGCAGTAAAAATACCCAATAAGCTGCTACAATTTCAGCGCGTCTCTCTTCGAATATCAGTCGAAACGAGAAGAATAAACTCGTATCGGTCCTATTCCCACCTGCCCGAGTTTTGTCTCCCACCTGCTCGCGTTAAGCGTGCAGCTGCGGTACTGTGCGCCTTGTGTCCATATTTCATCCAGACAGCTGTAAGTCATTCAACCGAGAAAACTGTCTGAATGCCCTGTCAGCGAAAGTCCGTTTTTTCTTACTTCTCAATATCTCGTGCCCGCTAAATACTCGAAACAATGCTAGATCTCCAAATCCCATTCCCAGCTCCAGCAGCCCAGCCAAAACACCCGCCCAAACTAACGAAATAGCCAATCAGAGTATAGCCGTTTGAATGCTGGCCCACCCCCGCGAAGAACGCCGAGCGCCCATTGGTCGTGCTGAACGGCTTGGAATGAACCGTAAGAAAGCATCAGACTTGTCATAAACAGGTGATATTAACTCTTTGAAACTGAATATATAATTTTAATATATATATATGTATTAAATTTTCCCCATGTTGTGAATTACAAAAGAAAATAGGACGCAAATGCCACACTTCACTTCAGTGCAAGTCACTCTTAAAAACCGGGCGAAACAGTATGTACTGTATTTTGACTGATATTAGTTATGCCACGGTTAATCGAAAGGTTAATTCTGTAACAAATGCAAAAATATATGCCTTTATAGCACAGATTTGCAGTTGTTCAGCCCAAACCTTCGAGTCCTCTTATTACCACGCGAATTGAAAAGAAAGAGCGCCAACGTGCGGACAAAATCAGAAGTGCAAATTACTCGGGTGTAAATATTACCTGAATACCTTCATGGGTAATTTGTTGCTTCGACATTAAACATTACCCTGCATCAAACTGGATTTAAATACGTTTCAATCGAAAGCAACTTACAAACCAGTACTACTATATTTAAACCCATTTATGCAACTGAACATTTCAATTTCATACAGTACAGAGTGCCCTTATGGTGTTTAAATGCAGTTAAGCAGCCTAGAATTGTACTTCAAACTACAGGGGCATTTAAACACAGAGTCTAGGAATGTAAAACGAACAATGTAGGTAAACATTATATTTTAAAAAGTTTAATCAGCAGCAGTATAACTCAGAGTACAAATAATTTATATTCAGCATATATAATCTGATATGCGTAATATTCGATAGCAATTCAAAGTAAATCTTACTCTCAGCCCGCAACTTTAGGATAATTTTCATATTAAGTTTGTAATAATGAAAAGTCATTTAAAAAGGGAATACATTTAGCACATAGAAATCCTACATATATACACGTGAAAATAAAACAAGTAATACAACCCAAGAAGACAAGGAGTTCAAGGAAAGAGTGACAGGTAGGCAGCCATGGTGGACAGATGAGAGAGGGTGGTCCATCTGCAGGGTATCACTCCTCCTCCTTTTCCAGATTTTGCACTTTGGGGGCTGGAGTCTAAACAAAGCATGAATTTTAATTCTAAGTGAAACTGTGATTTTAAAAGTCTGCATTTAAGCAGGAAATTAATAAAAACCAACCGTGGATGTGCCATGGTTCCTCTGGTTCCTGCGACCTTCTGGCCTTCCCCTGCTGAAAGGGGAATGGAGGTGAAGGTGACACAGACCCAGGTTAATTTTTTGTGCATCTGCGTGATGTTTATAAATCATGCATCATTAAACTCATTGGTCTGTATTAGCGAATTGGAAATGCTCAGGAGGAGAGGGATCAGGACCATTTAATTGGGGACAATGGCTGTCTGTCAAGGCCTAGAGTTGCACCCATGAGAGGTGAAAGCCCTTCATCTTTTAGCAAAAGCGTCTGGAGTATTAAGATGAGAATGGCTTGAAAGCACTCGCTTCTGTATTATCCCCCATTCCATTTTATGTTCCCCATTTCTGCCCAAAAAACCCCACACAGTATACAAACTCATTCACGTGAGCAGAAGTGACAATGATCATGTGCAAACTCAGATCTAACCCTGCTTGTGTCCACATAGCCCCCTGTGCATGTGAGGCCTGCTGGTTGTTGGTGCCTCCTTTCCAGTTCCCAGAACCAGAGCTTGCCCTCAAGTTCTCAGGCAGGTTCCTGAGCTCCAACTGCTCTCCAAGCCACTCTGGGTCCTGCTCTGGATCTGCTGTTGGTTACAGAGGAGCACAATGGGGATTTATGCTAAGTAAAAGTCAAAATTGTTTTTTTTCTGTAAAAGCAACAGATGCACACATCTTACCTTGGTGCCTGAGTCGTCTTTGTGGTCCTGGAGATTCCCTCTCTCTGTCCGTCCTGGCAGAAAACAGTGGTTTCTCCTTTGATAGCTCATCTTCAAAATATGCAGTATGGGGACAAAACTCACATGTATCCTTTTAAAAAGAAGAAACAAAAAACAAAAGCGACATTAACCCTTTGAGCGAGGATTTTTGAGCAATCCCTCTGATTTTAGGCTTATTACGTTGTATGTACATGAGTTAGCCACATATGCTTCGTGATTTTGTTTTCAAGACATTCTGGGCTACTCAGATATGTCATAATTTGATGCATAAATGCTGACAGTCTTGCTATAATCTTTTCAATGAGATAAAACTACTTGCACCTATTGAAATTTCTCGATTTTAAGTGTCATCTAATCTAAAAATTTACAGGTACTACAAATATACATGTTATAAATGTATATCCAGCTATAAATGTTGAGATTAGAGTCTCGATGATGTGGGAAGGCAGAGTCTTCATTGGGGACCTTCCTATGGCTTAGTATTGTGAAGGGATACATGGTTAGTGCCAGGTGGAAATGAATATGTTTGATTATATATCCATTTGGTAACTTATTGATGTTATCTGACAGACAGCATTACATGGTTTTTATATTTAGTTCATTTTTTAACTTTATAACATGTGAAAGAAATTGAAATAGAAAAGCTCAAACCCAAACATACACACATCCCCACAAACATTTACATATGTCCCCCCCCTCACACACATAAAAACAAACAACAATGCATAGCAAATCCTAATATAAGATCAAAACAAATATTTTAGTCGAACATGCATTTAGTTATATTTACAGTTCTGATGATAGTTGGTAGCATGCGGATCATTGCAGAAGCAAATATGCATCTTGTCTTCCGGGGTCTGTTTTGTTGGACAATGTTTAAAATATATGTCTCATTGCGCATAGGATTACTCTAGAATAATTTAGCGCACAATGTTGTGGTTTGGATGATCGGATCAGGGAAGTTCTCTCTGTTCCAAAGATATGCAACACTTGTCTGTGTGGTATACCTATCCAAAGTTATGAGCCTGAGATTAATGGGTACGAAAATCAACGCATTTTGTGTTTGTCGGGTTCAAAGCGTTAAATTGCTGAAAGGGGGTTTCAAATGTTTGCCAATGACAATAACCTTTAATCAGAGTGTAAATAGGCTGAACTGAATCACTGAACAGCAGGCTCCATAGATGCTCTCAAAAAAGTAATTTAAGTGTAATTTAGTACCAGCTGTTACCTGATGGTGAAAGACAATGTTTTCTTCCAGGGCAATTCCACAAAACTCACAGGGGATAAGCACAGAACAACCTGCAGAATCAGGGGGTGGATTGCAGGGCTGCGACGAGACAGCATCAGGGAAAGCAGTGGGGCTGGGGGTCCTGGGTGGGCTGTAGGCACCACTTCCAAAACTCTCTGTAGTCCTGTCCACAGGACAAGGAGAGGGGGTCCCTTTACTAAAAGATGCAAAGGCTACGGTAGGGCTGCAGCCCGTCTGCAAGGAAGGCAGAAAAAAATATTACATTTGACATATATAGGAATGCAACACATGCCCTGCCAGGCAGAGGGTCATAGAAATTTGGAACAACACTAGAACATGACAACAGATCTCTGTAAAATGAAGTTAAAGTGAATACTGGGAAATATCATATGGCAGCTATTATGATCCATTCATCCCTTTTCTATATCCGCTATACAGGGTTGCAGAGATCCTGAGCATATCCTATGCAATGCAGGGAATAACCCAGGATGAGGCACTAACCCATGACAGGACACACACACCATTCACATACACATTCGGGCAATTCGGCAAACCTTGGCATTTTTTTGGACTTTGGGGGGAAACCAGAAAGCCAAAGTCAATTCCTGGAATGCCATGTGCCATATGGGTCTAAATTTCTTTGGGTTATAGTCTAGGACAATAATAATTAGCTGAGAAACCTCAATCTACAAATAACAACCACATTAGTGATCTAGCTTGAAGTTTCACATATGCCTAAGTGCAGAAACAGATGGAGATTTGATTCTAACCTGGTGAAGAATGAGAAAATCCTCTGGAAAGAGCTCCTCACAGAACTCACAGGGCAACATGGTCTCTGTGGGGGAGAGATTAGACAGGAAAGAACGTAGAGAGAAGTCAGACTGAAAATTAAGACATTAAGAGAGAAATAAGCAAGCCACAGTGTTCATACAATTAAAAAATCAATTGATGAGCTATATATTTTTCTGCACTTCAGAGTAAAACTGCTGAATTTCACCTCAGGGATGAATAAAGTTTATTTGCAAATCTATCTGTGTTGCAGATTATAGCAGAGATAACCTGTCTGCACGCTGGCTGGGGCAACATCACTGCCTGCGGTGGAGCTGCTGTAGTTGTTGTTCAGGTTGGATAATTGACATAGCTGGGAGAAGGGGGAGGACAATGGGTCTATGTGGGAGGTCCTCCCCAGTCTGCTATCCCTAGAGTGCAGCCTTCCCAGGCTCTCCAGAGGGTTTGGCATGGGGTCACGCAAAGGTTCAGCCTGGTAGTCTCCCATGTCCCCATCATTCTGCAGGCTGAGAGCCAGCAGGTAGTCTAGATGGGAGGTGTCATCTGGGGAAGACCAGTTTCCTGGCCATGGCACCCTGCTGTTATTGTTGTCCCACAGTTCTGCCTCTCGCTCCCTCACTGAAAACAAGCATTAATAATTATAAACCAATATTATGAAAATAAACGCCCAATCATGACAATCATCAGCCAAATCATACATGAAGAATATGGCCACAGGTTGTCTCTAGGGCTACGTCCACACTGCTGCATTTTCACTTAAAAGGCAGACATTAGTGTCCATCTTTGCCTTTGATCCACATTACTCCGGAGTTTTCAGGCCCCAAAAACAGAGACTTCTGAACATGTTCTTCAGAGCCATATACTTCTGAAAGCTCCATTTTAGTTTTACAGTGTGGATGAGTGAAGGAGAAACTTTTGAAAACACTGACTCTAAAAGGGCCCTCATTGGTCTTAACTCATAAAGTGGCCTTATCTTCATTTGATCCCATTAGATACAACTTCTCATTGTCTGACTGGTCACCTGGTCACTACATGGATGTAAACAGTAGAGATGGGTGATACCACTGATTTTCTTTTCACTCTGATTTGATCCAGTACCAAGGTTGGTGTTGCAGATATTGATTCCAGTAACGATAATCTGACAATTAAATTTGTCAATGAGGCAACAGTGGATCAATCACCCCACTTCCCTAGTCAAGTGTCTGAGTCGCTGAATGTATTCCCCATTATCCCTTTTCCCTGTTTTCAGTTGCTGCCTCTGCTGCTGACCTGCGTGCAGCTAAACAGGTCATTACACAATATGACTGCTGCACATCTCTGTTGTTTTCATCAATGCGAACGCACCCAATGTAGCCTAATAGCTACGTCATATACGTTTTCGCTCATTTCAGCATGGATGGAAATACTTTCATAAACAATGTGAGGACACCTGGGTAGATGAGGATCGTTTTCATTTGAAACACAGCAGTGTATACCTTTCTCACTGTTGTAAAACTTACTGCGGTCAAAATCTGTATTCTTGGGTGCAATGTTCGTCTGGCCCAACTGTCCCAGTGCCCGGGTGATGTTATGTACTGTGCTGTCTGGCAGGCGGGTTGAGGGTCTGGGGCCTAGGGATCCATGGCTCTGGCCTGTCTGCTGGGGCCTGAGCAGGTTCCTGACTGCGTGGGTCTCAAACCAAGCACCAGGGTCCACAGGGCTTCTGGCAGGCAGGGCATTGTTACTCTCCGGGGTCAGGGTGCTGCTACACAGTGCCGCGTGAACGGCCTGCTCCCTCAACATGACGTTGCACCTGCAGGTGGGGCAGGGCTCCGTGCGCGTTCCACAGTACTCCTCGTGTTTCCCAGATTGGCTGAAGGCCAGCTCTAGCTGGCAATATGGACAGGCAACCAGACGCTGAGCGCATTCCGACTGCTGCAAAGCCAGAGGCAGAGGAGTATGCAAAACGCAGGGCACAAGACAGAATTTTCAATTTCCGCAGTTTCCAAGTTCATACAGACACATTATACAAACAAATGTGAATCTGCTTGAAACAATTAAAAAATGTACAAGCACACAACGTGTGTATTCGTTTACCTTATGGACGTCCATTAATTTATTCTCAATCTTCAAGCCACATTTACATAGCACCTGAAAGAAAGCAGACATTTCTACATATGGCAGTATTATCTTGTACTGGTCAGTGCAGGATAGTAGGCCCATGTGAGTGCTGGATCCCCTTCCTGAAGCATAAAGCTGCAGCCATGGGTGGAAAAAACCCAGAAAACATTTATAATTTCTGAATAGATGCCCGGTATACACTGCCCCAAATCTGCCTTGTACACCTGGTATTTTTAGCACTTCCTTTACGATCATAATTTTAGACAGTCTCCACAAACCACATTGCAGACGACTTTGTGTGTCACCCATTATATACCTAGCCGTTGTATTTTTGTTACCTTTGACTCTGACCCTTTCCTCTGGATTAACCGGTCTAATTGTAAATTAATCCCCTCCAGATATACTGGGCACACCCTCTATACAAGACAAAATATTGCTGAGTGTTTTTGTTTACAGGTGAGCCGTCAAGCCCCGCCCTCTGACCTGCGCGTGCTCCTGATCCTTGTGACTCTGCAGGGACGCGCGCGGCACCGGTTCAGCGCAGAGCTCGCAAAGCGTAATGTTCCGGCGGCAGTGGATCTCGTGCGTTCTGAAACTGGCGTCCGGGATGTCGCGTTGGCTGTGTCGACAGTGAAGACAGTAAGTGCTTTTACGCGAGGAAATCAGTCTGGAGCTTCTACTAAGTGTCGAATCGTTCCTTTCCTTAGTGAAATAACACTGTTTATCTCATTATTAGGTTCCCTGTCTGCGCCCCAGTGACTTCGCTCCCCACCCATTCTTATCCTTACCAGTTTCCACAGAACTGGGTGCTGTCGTCTGCCATGGTCTTTTCATGGGTCAAAACAATAATATTAATCAGAAATTTAGTTCAAGTGGACAATAAGCATTCATCGAAGCCATTTATTTAAACTTTCACTTTCGTTTAATTCAAATTCAAACTCTCTTTGATTAAAATGCTAAGACCAAACGAGTCAAGTAGCTGCATAAACAACTTTATCTTTCTGAGACTGATCTTTATACTACAAATCCAATTAATCATATTTTGACATCTTGTTAAATTTTCAAAAGTACTTGGTGTATATACATATCTGATTCGACGGGCTTACATCAACAACTTGTCAAACTTTAAATACCGAACGTTTTCTTTATATTTCAGCTCCCTATAGTGATTAACTACTGTTACACAATTATCCTTAGCTAACAGGCTAGCCAAACTAGCAGGCATTGACTTACAATGTAACGGAAGTACCTGACACACGAACCTTAGATCGGATTCACAGCACAGCGGATGACAGCGTAAAAATTAAATCCTCTTGATTTGGTAAATACCAAAAGAGTGTTCACGAAGACCAATACTGCTGAGAAAAAATAGGCCGTCCTGTTACCGATCACAAAGACTGCCCCTTGACATTTCGGTTTCACTTGAGATAGCAGCACTTAGCAGTGGAACTAGGTGGGCAGATCAGACATAAAGAAAATTGGGATCTTCCACCCTATAATTGTACGGACCTAATACAGGAAAAGCGAGCCGAAGAGCTAACAATTTAGCTGAGCATCTCCACAGCCGGGACGCACAGTAAGTAGGCAGTGGGCTATCCTTAACATTAACTAGCGCCGCAACTTCGACGCGGAAAGGCAACTTTACCCTCCCCTTCCCTTTCAATTGCATGCCTCCCGGCGCCTGGTTAACGTCCAAACAGACGGCCACATAGCTCAGCGAAGCAATGCGGCCACCGTACTTTGCTCGGCCCACTGGATTTGCGGATTGGACAGATTCCACGTCTCCGTATGTCAATTGGCTGAATTTTACGTCACTTTAGTGGCTCAGGTCGCGCTTCTGGTCAGGGGCGGGGAGAAATCTTCTCCCACCACCTATCCAATGTTTTGGTGCCTGTAACCTGGGTAACTGGCGGATAACAACGCGGAGTGCACGAAACTGTTGTGTATTAGATGTATTCAGTGTTATGCGCTACACGGATCACAAAAATATTTTCAAAAGTTATTTTTTCGTGTAATCTTTTTTTATCAGAATATAATGACAGTAAAATGAAGTGTTAAACGTTAATATCACTGTATGTAACATTGCTTCAGATGAGAGTGTGGCACAGTGAAATTAGATATTCAGTCTCTGATTCAGCTCTACATGTATGGAGTTTGCATGTTATCCCAGTATCTCTGTGGTGTTTTATCTGGGTTCTTCGATTTTCCTCTGCAGTCCAAAAGCATGCTAAGGTGATTTGGCAGGTCCAAATTGTCCCTGTGTGTGGGAGGGGGGACGTATATATATTACATTGTGGCGACCAAGTGTCCCCACAATGTGATAAAAATGTGTTATTTTGATGTTGTGGGGACATGTTTTCAGTTCCGACAAGAAGAAACTTTATAAATTTTATAAAAATCTGTGAATGCAATCAAAATACTAAGAATGCCAAAAGTCTTGTTTGGTTACTTATGCTTAATTAAGGAGATTACATTAGGTATTCCTCTTTTAAAAAAAAAACATTCAATTTCAGTGACATCTGGAATGGTTGATTGAAATTAGTTGCTTTTGTTTATAGCTCATTTTAATTTTGAAATAAGTAATTCTTAAAACTGCAGAATTTTCCTGAATCATTAACAGGATCAACCTGGTAAGTGCACCAAAAACATCTGGACCAGAAGGCCATTGAAGTAGTTAATCATAGTTAATAAGCACTGCACCAGATATCATGACAATCTGGATACATAGTACCATTCTCACTACAGTTTCTGATTTCAAACAATCCCATATTTTTTTCTTGATGATTGGTATTTAGAAGATTGACTAGGGCTTTAAGTGCTTTTTGCTAAAGTAATTATGCATGTGGTTATGCAAAAGATTAATGCTATACTAGCCAATTATTGCCATGGAAATTCACACCATAACCTAAACAGCGATCAATGCTGGCATCACAATGAGGCCTATGGCTACACTGAATATCACTAGAGAGGAGAGTGATGTATTGTAGCAGTCCTTGAAGCCTCAGTAAGGACCCTGGGCCTACTGGCGTTGGTGACTGTGGGATCTAGCTGGGAGATTAGGGTTTAAGTATTGCCATGACTTATTTCCGGTGACAACACTACAGTATTGATAATGTATATTTTCCATGTCAATGTATAAGAACTCCTTCATGAATAACCATGGTGGATGGTTTGTCTGCCTCCATGATTCTAGAAGTCATGTGTCTGGGAGCAATTGCCCCAGGTAGGGTCTTTCAAGACAAATTGCCTCTAGTTGAGTGGGTAGAGAAAATGCAATTCAAATGACCCCCAATGAATGGAAAGCAACAAGAATCATGTAACGTCACCTGCAATAGGTAAAATGGCAGGAAAAATTTAATTGGGATTGGAATTACTTTTATTGTCCTGAAGGAAATTTGCTTTGACAACATACCACAATTGCAATAAATAAAAACATGTAACAGGTAACATTATATATGAACATTCATCCTAAGCACTCATAAATCCATATACCCAGATTTTCATAGACCTTCTGTTCAGTTCTAACACATCTGCACCAAAATAAGCAAACAAAAACAAACAAACAAATAAATAAATAGGACAAATAGAGGGTGGAGTTTAACAGTGTATCGAGTCAATTTGAAATATACTGTTACGACATAGGAATGCCCATTTGTGGGACCACCAGCTGTTAGGTGGCATGGGGATCCAGTGTATTGTGGATCAGCTGGCAGTTGAGTGCAGGGGCCTTGGAGGTGGATCCCCAGCCACTGAAACTGGCTTTGGGAACATGGAACATGAGCTCTCTGGTGGGAAAGGAGCCTGAATTGGTGCAGGGGGCAAAGAGATACTGACTAGAAAACAGTCAGGCTCCCTTCAACACAGAGTATGGGCTCCTGGAGAGGGGCAGGGCTCTTTTCCCCTTTGGAGGAGCCCTTGGTGAGAGGCACTGGGTAGGTATGGGGATACTCATAACCTCCTGGTTCAGCAGCAATATATTGGTATTCACCACAGTGAATAAGAGGGTCACCATCTTTTAACTTCAGGCTGGGGGACATGCTCTGGTTGCCATCCGTGTCTATACAAAGAGCACTGGCATAGAGTATCACACCTTCTTGGAGACCTTGGGTGAAGCGCTGGTAGGTGCATCCTCTGGGCACTCCATTGTTCTACTGGGGGAGTTAAACACTAACGTGTGAACAATAGTGAAACCTGGAAGGATGTGATTGGGAAGAATGGTCTGCCTGATCTAAACATCAGTGCTGCTTTGGACATTTCTGCTTGTGACAAATGTCATTCCATGTTTGAGCGAAAGGGTGTTTGAAGTGCACCTGGCATCAGAGCCCCTTAGGCTGTAGTTCAATGATTGAATTTGTAGTCATATCATCAGACATGTGACTGTATGCCTAATCAGACACTCAGGTGAAGAGGGAACATCTGGGAGCGGCCCCTGTTCAGCAAATCTTTACCTCACACCTCTGGCAGAAGTTCTCTTACATTTTGAGGGAGGCACACAGACATTGAGTCTGAGTGGGCCGTGGTCTGTGCCTCTATATTTCTGAGGCGGCTGTACAGAGCTGTGGCCTCAAGGTTGTTGGTGCCTGTTATGGCAGCAGGTCCCTACGGTCCAACACTTTCATCACTTATGCTACTTAAAATCAATGAGTGTGAATTACAAAAAATATTCCCTTGCACGTGTGTGAATTGGACTGAGCAATGACATTATACCATTATCTGTAGGTCTTTTTCGAGAGCGACATTGAATTGACTAGTGTCAGTTAAGTACATTAAAAATAGTATTCCCAACATGCATCACACTGCTAAATGACCCAAAACTGATCATTTGGAACGAAGTGACTGGTGCTCACACTCAGCAAAATGACTGCTGCAGTGACAGATATACTGCATAATGTTTCCCTGAATTACCTAATGGCAAAAAAAATCCATTACTTATTATTGCAAACAGGGATGTTGATGTTGTTATAATGGAACTGGGAGATGACATTGCCACAGGAGGAGGTAATGATTTTGCTAGCAATGCCATTGGTACTGTGTTGCAAAGTGTAGGGTGAAAGAGTGTGTGTGTGTGCGTGTGCGTGTACGTGCCCGTGCGTATCTGTATATAGTGTTTGTGAGCAGGTGTTTATCAGAGCATTCTCCCTTTGTTTATTTTTGTCTTCAAATGAACTGGCTGATTAATGTTTTGTTTTCAATAAATTAATAAAACTGAAATATTAACCGACTTATGAATTTAACAAAACTTTGTTAAAAACTTTCTTGGACTTCATGAAATAATGTTTTACTGAAATTAATTGAGTGACATACAATTTTTTAGTTTTGTGCACTACAAATTTTTAACATAATAGCATATTTGTTATGCTAACTTCACACTACAAGGTTTTAGCCACATTTTCCACTTGGCAACATTTTTTGGAGATCGCCAGCAAAACCCTCAAATCAGAGGCAAATTGATGTTCGATTGGCGCTGACAAATTGGAATTCGATCGCTATGTGTGAACTGTTCAAAGACGTGACCCAGACGCATGTCGGTTATCTAGCATTCTGAATATCTAGACTTATCGGCAACTCTAAATTCTGTAGCGTGAAAAGTGTTGTAACTGACAATGAGTGCGGCGACAAATTACAAAAAATGAGAGCACAAGACACTGAGGGTGAGAGGAAACACATGCTAAGTTCATACTACACAACTTTCAAAGTCATGAGATCGCTGTACAATAGGGATGTAACGATACATTTAACTCATAATTCGATACGATTCACGACTGAATTCATAATATGATTTTCTCACGATTTTTTAATAGAATGAGCTGCAGACAAATTTATTCAAAATATTTTTCTTTACTTATCTTTCTAAACTGTGCAAAACATGTCTCTTCTTAACAGTGGGTAACGCTTTACATTAACTGCACCTTCATAATGCTTTTATATTGCATTCAGAAAACGTTCAGTACACCTTCATAATGTATTCATTAAGTATTCAGAAATCATTCATAAACATCATGCATGTATACGTACCTTTACATCCTAACATCCCTTAACAGGGATACATTAACAACAAACATTATATAATAATAACAAGCATTATAATTGTATAATCATGTAATGTTTGTTATTAATGTATATTAAAGCTGTTAGGGGATGCTAGGATGTTAAAGTGTACTTGCATGCTGCTTATGAATGTTCTATGAATGCATTATGAAGGTGCACTGAATGTTCTATAAATGCATAATGAATGCATTATGAAGGTGCACTTAATATAAAGCGTTACCAAATAAACTAAGGCTTGCATGTGCAGCTTTTTAGCATGGTTTGCCCTTTTAATAATCTTCACTCTGGCAGTGGTGAATTGAGTTCACTGTGGTGCCAGTGGACATGCTGAAGCATGGTCGTTGTGCTATTTGTGTATGTTATTAGTCTTTTACAATGTTTGCATGCAGTTTTTGTTTTGTCCGTGCTTCTCTCACTGTTTTCATTTGTGATTACCGGAAAGCTAAAATGCTGCCACACCGCCAATTTAAGATTGGGGGGGGGGGGGTGTCCTCAATTTCAAATTCGCTCAAGAGGGTCTAGCTGCAGACGCCTGTAGAGTGGAGCTCCACCGGAAATACGTCACCTCCACAGGAAACACGTGATCTTTAAAGACGTGAAGTGGAGCTCCACTCTGTTAGCGCCAAGAGAGAACAAGAGGGTTAGGGTAAGGTTTAGGGTTAGGGTTTATTCGCCAGAATTTTACAACTGAAATTCCGCTGTAACACAGACTTGAGGTCACGTGTTTCCTGTGGAGGTGACGCTTTTCTGGTGGATCGCCACTCTACAGGTGTCTGCAGCTAGACCCTTCTCAATTCGCTCGCCATCTCGCGTTCGGTCAAAGCCAAAAACTTACGATGTCGATGTGAATATACAGTGACATCTGACGTCATGAAATCAAATGTAATATTACACCAGTTTTTCTGATAAGTAAAGTATCGTGAAGTACTCCTAAAGTAGTGATTCATTTTCCACATCAGCCAGTTTAAATCGTCATACATTTACATTGATTTTTTAACCGATTCGCGATTCATCGTTACATGTCTACTATACAATATCAAAAATGATGGAGGCAGCAAAAGTTCAGCTGTCTGTTTGGACCCAAGGTGTCAGGGGTCGGCAAGGAGGCGAGCAGGGAAGCAACAGAGCAAGCCGTACTCACGGGTAATCAGGGGTTTATTAAGCAAGCGACAGACAAGCAGGGACATCCAACGTG